TGCCCTCGGCCCTGCATCTCGGCCTTTCAAACTTCCCTTTTTCAGGTCCTCATAATAATTTTGAAGGAGGGTCTTCTGCTCGATCTCCTGGTCAAGCTGATGCTGAAGGGTCTCAGCTTGCTGTGTGACATTGGTCAACTCAGACTGATACCTGAGGATGATGCCATGGTGTGAGACACTGATTCTCTGCATTTCTTCTTCGAGATTCTTGTTCTTGACCTGCTGCCCCTGCAGCTCAGCTGCAAACTTAACTTGCAAGTCCTCATACTGTTGCTGAAGGAGAGTCTTGTCTTGTTTGATCTCCTGTGCAAGCTCTTGCTGAAGGGTTTCAGCCTGAGAAAGATGTTTTGATCCTTCTCCACTTGAAGCTCAGCTTTAAACTTCTTTTCGCTGATGATGTGTGCCACTTGGAGCTCTTCATAGTCTTTTTGAAGATCTTTCTTTTTCTTTCTTTTGGTGTTGTCTCTAACCATAGTGGCAACCTGTGTGGTGCTGAGAGTATCTGTGTCACTGTACTTCTGCAGCCTTTCTAGATCGCTCCTGGTTTCTTTTCCCCTGTTGATGTACATTTCTTTCAGGGTTTTCTGTTTTTGCAGCTGAGCTCTTGTGTCTTCCAGTTCTTGACCATATTGTTGTCTTCTGGCCCTCTCTTCAAACAACTGGACTTCAAGCTGGTAAACTTTTTGACGAAGTGCATCGTCTTGCTGAGACCTGCCTCCAGTCTGCTGTCCAGAGGTCCTCTGGAAACCTTTTTGATCTCTCTGCATTTTCTTTGGCTAGTAGAAATAGTTGCAAAGAAATGCTGTTGTCTACAGTTGCAGTTCTTCTCTGGTGAACAGATATCTTCTGTATCAGTGGTCTGCCTGTTGGAGATTGTCTTTTCTTTAACTTTTCTGTAACAGTGGTAACACCTGTTGAACGAGTTGAAATGATCTGTCTAAGAAGAGCGATCTCTCATATATAGACTGATTTCACAATACAGATGGAATTATTCCTTTGATGTGTATATATATATATATATATATATATATATATGTAGGCTATATACATTTATATGTATATATGTAATTTTTTAAATAACTATTGGTTTATTTTATTTATTTTCTGTTATATGTCACTGTTCTCATTTCTCAAGGTGAATTATATTAAAGGACTCACTGAAAGAGTGTGAGTAATTGTCCCTGTCTTTAAAATCCATTTAATTAAAAAGGGAGACATAAATCTGTAAATCTTTTCTATGCCAACACCTGTGTCTGTGTCTGACAGAGTTTGTGGGGTTAAATGCAGATTTACTAAATGCTTTAAAAAGGTTGCTTACTGAGTGAAGAGAATTAAAGCCTGAATGTTTCTTGTTTTTCATTGTGATAGCAGGCTTAATGGATATTTTTATATTTGTTCTGTTTTATCTGCAGGCACTGGCATCCCATTTCCTTTACATTCCAACGATGCCAAAATGTAAAGTACTTTATTGCTCTCTGTCTCTCTCTCCAATCCCTGTCTGTTTTTCTCTTCGTCCCTCACTCCTCCAGCACTATGCCATTTGGGCTGACAGAGGACCATAACCAGCTGATTGTTTGGTCTGCCTGTGCATGATAAGCTTTCTAAAACATGTCAATAGTGCTGCTGGCAGGGGACAGCTGGAGGGGCCTTAAACTGGCCCCTAGCCGACTGGACTCATCGTCCAAGTCCCGTGGAAGTCAGTGGCAATGATTCATATACTGTAGGTCACTACCACTCCAGACAGAAAACTGCATAAACCCAGGCGAACTTGCTAGTGACAGATTGGAGTTTTACTTATATAACAGAGCTGGCTCTGTTGGTTGAGCTAAATCTCCATGAGTAACGCCAAAGAAGCTTTTAGGAGTAAAATGATATAACTTGGACGGAAACTACAAACTCAAATAGGAATAGATATTATCTTAATAAGTCTTAATTCGAGTTAAAGTTAACTCCTGAATTTGCAGTTTTTAGTTTAGTTTAGTTAGGTCCACAAGGTCCACTTACTAGTTTTTTATAGAGGTTTCAACTGCTTCTCACAGCGTTCCTCAGTGGACGTAGTTTGGTTAGTTGTCATGGAGATAGCACAGTTGTCAATTGAAATATACAATTATGGTGCGTGAACAGAGATTGAAAAGTGAGCATACTCCCTCTGCTGAGAAAGACTGACTCTAGAAAAACTAATAAGTAGACCTTGAGTTAAGGGATTGATATTTTTATCAATATTAGTGGTATGGCTTTAGGGATGGCAACTTCATTAGCTGTTGGTGCTCAGTGGGGTCACCACTTTGGTCCAAACTGAAATATCTTAACTTTTGGATGGCTTGCCATGCAGTTTTTTTACACACATCATCAGGGTCTCCATGCAGATTATGAATCCTTGTGACCTTTAATGGCCCCCTTGATTTGACTTCTAACACCACCAGCAAGTCAAATTTTTCACTAAACCTGTAAAATAGGGACAGGTTTATGAATTGAAAGGAAAAAGATGAATGAAGCAGTGGAGAAACAAATGCAGATGCTTTCATACTGGTCAAGAGGCGCCACTGAATGGTTTAATGAGAATGAAAATAATGTGAATCTACAACACTTATGAGAGAATGGAGAAGCTTCCAGAAACCAGGTGGTTTGTGGTGTTTTTTCTTTTAAATTGTAACCCATCCGTTTCTTTACATCGACATGACAAATTTGCTCCAAAATGTGTACAGGTATTCCTGGTTCCCAGATGATGTACCCAAATGACATTGATGACCCCCTGTGATTTCCTTTCGGGCCACCATGAGGTTGACACTGGTGGTTTTGAGTAAAATTTTTGAATGAATGGTCATAAAATTGGATACACTTATTATCATTGTCCCACACAAGATGGATTTGTCGGTTTATTTCTCTCTTCGGTCAATGATGGTTTATTAATCACAGCAGAACTTTGAGTTTAGTGCTGATTAGCAAATGTTAGCATGCTAACATGCTAAAATAAGGTGTGTCTCATTCCGCCTACTTGCA